CATTTCAAAAGATTTGCACAGTAGGGAAGGATGGCATTATTTCTTTCTCAAATATACCAAATATTTGGGAGAGAAAATGAAATTAAAGCCTCTTTTTACTACTGGTTAGCTGCAAAAGATGGGCGAGGGATTTAGGTTTGTGGAATACTGAGAGAGCTGCTGAGGGTTTCTAAGCAGTATGGTTTACCCATGTGTACTACAATAAATTTGCCTTATTTCTCATAAAATTCTGTATCTATTTTCAGTTATTTATTCATTTAACCAGTTGAATAATTAATGAATTTAATACCCGTGACAGCCGTGGTCTGTAGAACAAATGTTGCTTTGTGTGATGATTTTCTGACCCTGCCATAGTTAAACATAAATAATGACATGCTTCCCAATTTCTACTATGGCCATAGATACAAATAATGTGTTTCTTTTTTCCTATTCTTTTCAAGGCCTCCAAAACCTTTGCGTCCCAATAGTTTAAAGCTGGGTAATGACTCTGATGCAGAATCGGATTCGCATGCCAGTTCCCCAAATTCTACAGTCTCCAACAACAGCAGTGAAGGTTTTGGGGGTATTATGTCTTTTGCCAGTAGGTATTCTTATTTCTTGCACACTGATTTAAATAATAGGTGGGAAGAAGTGGAAAAGAGATTCAAAGGGGAAAAAAAAACCTACTGTGGCAAGCATGTTATTAATTCTAGGTACCATGAAAGTCATGGATCTGATTATTGCTGAGTACGTGGCTTTTATAAAACCAGGAGAGGTGCATAAAAGAATAAAAGGTGACATTATTTTGTGGAAAAGAATAATGATGGAATAATAAAAAAAGAATAATGACAGACTTTATCCAAAGGTTAGCTCGGATAGACTAAAGACTAAAATCAGATCCAAGGGATCAGAAGATTGGATCTATCAGAAGCAATTTTTAAAGATTAAGCATTTGTTTGAATATGGTTAAGATACAATATGGACTACTCAACCAGAAACTATTGAATGGAATAGAGTTAAAAGATATATTTTTTAATGATATGAGCAATGTAACTGTCTTATCAGATGCAATTTTTAAAGATTAAGTATCTCTTTGAATATGGCTAAAATATAACATGGATTACGTAATTAGTAAATATCGAATGGAATAATGACAGACTTTATCCAAAGGTTAGCTCGGGTAGACTAAAGACTAAAATCAGATCCAAGGGATCAGAAGATTGGATCTGAAAAAATGGGGGATATAAATGAATTTTAGTTTGAGAGATATATGTTTTTGTTTTTGTTTTTCTTCTTTCTTATTCTGAATAGTATTGTATTTTTTTTAATCATATGAGAAATGTTGGGAGGATTATTGTGAGGGAAATAGCTTAGATATTTAACCGTAAATCAATTTTGAGAAAATCTTAACAGATAAAAATGATTTTAATTTTATGGGGAAAAAGTCTAAATGAGAATGTTGAAAACAGGACATATAACGCAACCAAGAGGACTAATTAGAAAAGAAGTTCTATATTGATGCTATTACCAATTGGATAAATGTTAGAAAAATGTTTATATTTAACCTCTTTGTTACTAAAACATTAAGAACTGTATTAACCTAATGTTTGCAAAAGAGAACAATATGGGAAGAAGAGAAAATCAAGGAAAGCTGTTATGTAGAGTATGATATGATAGAAATTGACTATTATTGATTGTTGTGAAATGTGAACCCAGACAACATGCTGTTTGCTAAGCACTAAGATTGTAGTTCCATATGTGGGATATTGTCATATGTCTTTGGCCAGCTTTGAAACTGAAATTCTCTGTTAAGATGGCCATCAAGCAATCACAGATATTCCATTGCTAGTAAACAGTTATTTTCCTTTCCTAATAAGAGCCATTTGGACATGATAATATGTGGGGAAGTAGATAGTACCATTGGCTTGTCCCTCCTCTCCCTAGTGATTCTTAGATGTATTTGCAGTATATCTTGCTCATTTTGATTAGCTGTGTTTTTCAAAGGAAGCTTGCATATTACTTTCTAAGGAGAAGCACAGTTTGATTTGAATTATTGTGTGACTAAAAT